CGCGGGGCCCGATTTGGGAGAATCGGGGGAATCGGCCTAAAGCCGGCACTGGCCATGAGCACCGACAGCACCCACTGACTTCAGTTGTAGTTATGTGTATGCATTGCTTCTTTGAAGCCATTGGGCGCTGCAGTTGGTCAGCACTTCAGTAATGTCTGCAATCAAAAGCACTGTCAATGCTTTGTAAAGCGTTAGGTGGATTGGGTTTAACCTTGTCTAAACTGTTGTGACCTCCATCCCTCGTGTACACTAGCTGTGAGAGACAGCTAAACAGCCCCACCTCAGACAAAGGGGTTCTGTGAACTGGCCCAGTAATTTGGACTTTGTGGGCAGGAAGCTCCACAAGGCATTGTTTTTGTCTGTGTCTTTCTGTGTGTGGTGGGACGGAGGCAGCAGAAGCAAAGAGATACACAGGGACCAAAAGACACAGAAGCAGAGAGAGAAAAGCAAGCCAAGCAGCCGCAGGATGGAAGCACAACCTGGCCCTAAAATAAAGCTAAGAGAAAAGTCTATCTGGGTACAAAGCATCGGCTGGAAAGGCAGGCTTGGAACAGCGAACAAAGAAACCGTCTCCTGCGGTTTGATTCCTACTGTGTTCAGAGAAACAGGACTTTGTACATTTCTTGTAAATAAACAAGACTGCATCAAAAGACTCCATTATCCATTTCTGTTCCCATCTGGAACCCCTGCAAGGCCCTGAACTTTGACAAGCCGCTTGGGTCAAAAGGAGCTACCGACAGAATATCCCAGCCGCTCCCACAGAGGCAGCTATAAAGGCTATTAGCCCCACTGATGTCAGTCAAGTGTGCAGTGGTGGATGGAAAGCATTAAATGCCCCAATAAAATTAGAAATTTATTTTCAAAGCCAAAGGACAGAAAAAGATTTTTTTGCTCAATTGATCAATTCCCTGTGAACATATGACAGGCAAAAGATTCATTTTTATCTGTGTGCATTTCAGAGCTACCAAAAAAAAAAATCCTCAACTGTCACTCACACAATAAGATGCGCTATGAAGCCAGGCAGGGAGTAGAGTAGAATTTGGTTTTGTATCGCTCCTTTCATATTTAAGGTGCCCCAAAGCATTTTACAAAGCAATGAGTTAGATTTCGTAAATTCAGGAGCCATTATGCATCCTGTAATAGCTCAAATGGCACTTTAGACATTTGGACTTGACTATATTTTATTGACAGACAGGGAATGTTGCCCAGGACTATGGGGTTGTCCCTTAGTTGCCTGGTAAGTGCCAGAGGATCATTAACTTCTGCCTGCACAGTCAGCTGGGGCAGGTAGAATGGGACCTTGATTTCAACATTTCGGCCAAATTGCAGCACTTCTAGCCATACATCAGCCCTTCATTACTGCACTGCGGTGTCAGCATTCGAGCTGAGCACTCCAGTTCTGTTGTGATGCTGCAGACTTGTGTAGGGATTTCTCCTGCAGTAGAGATGGGAAAGG